GGCAGCGCTAGTCTGACCTGTTAGCGACAGTATCGACGACATTTAACAAAATTAATAAAGCATGTTTTTGCTTATTTGACTTCAAAACATTTGACCGCATGTGCTGAATTGTTTCCATTGAGTCGCTTTAATGTGTTAATGTCAGCATGAATCTATAGCATGCTAATAGTTTTAATTCAAACCAAAACATCACTCAGGGTTATTAATAAGTTTAGCATATATTTTTGTTATTCTTTTTATATTGATTTTAAATAAAATCTTATTTAACCTCGTCACATCAAGTTTGATTTAATGCAGCACAACAGTGTAATGATCTAATAGTAAGCAGTAATATCTGTATGTAATGTCCGCATCAAGATTTGATTTTACAAAGATATGATCTTATTGTATAGCTTAAGTTGATACTATCTATACTTTTTAAAATATAATTGTTTTGTCTATTTTACTGTAATTTGCCATAACAAAAATAATAAAAATAAAACATTTTAACATTTCATTTAACATTTTCAATAAAAACATTTATAGAAAAAAAAACAAGTCAGTTTTCATCATCAATTGTCTTAACAGATATCTCTGCTAAAATTAAATATACTTTTTTACTGATCTGTATAAATTAACCTTTATAAAAAGTATTCACACTAGGTTTTTATTTGTTTTAAATTATTATTACATATTGCTGACAAATGCATTAAACCAGCGGCAAAAGTGCACTGTGATCCTAAAATGTTCTTAATCTTTTAATATTATCAAATGATTATTGTTATGAATGTGCATTTAGTGCATTTAATGTCTATTGTGAATCATGGTAGAAATGTAAAATGATTAAAGGATACTTTATATTGTACTAAAACAAAGGAAGAAATTTTAAACTTAGATTGTTTGAATGTTTGATCACTATATTTTGTAATATTGCATATGTGTATATCTTACAAAGTATAAGAATAGCATATTTATGGGTTTTTCTTAACAGCACCCATTCAGAGCATTAAAGAAACACTTATTTTGAGAACAGCTAAGAGTTACATTTTATTCAATTATACTTTATACTTTTGTCGGATCTGTGTGAATTAACCTATATACAATAAATAATCACACTACATTTGTATACATTTTTAAGTATTACAAACATATCGCTGACAAATGCATAAACCAGTGGCAAAAGTGCATGTGATCCTAAAATCTTCATCTTTTAATGTTATCAAATGATTTTTGTTATACATATGCCTGATAAGCTATTTTCACTACACTAAATGGCATTTGTAAATCATGATCAAATGTAACACAAACAAATTTCTTTAAAAAGTGGCGATGTTTTATAACTTACTTTAACTCTCTTAATGTCTTGCCTTCTATTTAATAAATGCACTCAACTTCCTTTTTAATTTATTTATTTTGTAATAATTTAAAGTTTGTTTGTTTCTAACTATTACTATTTTATTCGGTTTAATTGTAAATAATTACTTTCAACATAGACAATGCATCTGAACATTTGCCTGTGATTGCTGAATGTTTGCATTCAGTTTGTTGTAATTTTCTGTACACTTTTATTACTCTTGTTTACATTTTTCTTTTCCCCTTATTATTATTATAATTATTTTTTTGTTGTATTTTTTCCTTTTTATTATAATTTTTTCTCCTTTTCTTTTGTAAAAAAAAGCAACAAGAAAGATAATGATATGTAACTTTTGCAATAAATTCTTTTACAAAAAATCTTAAAATATATCTATTAAATCTATGCTTTATTTTGTGCTAAAATAAAGGAAGAAATCTGAAATGTTTTATTCTTAGATTGTTTTAATGTTTGATGACTATATTTTGTAATATTGCAAGTGTGTATATCTAACAAAGTATAAAGAATAGCATTTTTTTTTCTTTACACCATCACACACTCTGATACACTTATTTTGAGAACAGCTAAGAGTTATATTTTATTCATTTTTCAGTCTTTTATTTTACAAAACTCAATAATGTTCAAGAATACATTTTAACTAACATTGACGTTTCCTTTTCAAACAAACAAACAAAACATGGCTGAAGAAGTATGAAAAGTAATAGAGAGATAAGAGGTATGGAAAAGACCTTGTGATTAGGAATGTTTATAAGAAATGTCTCCATTTATCTATGGCAGACCTTTATGAAAGACAAGTACAGTTGAACATGTTAACATAGTTTGGTGAGAACAAAAAACCCTAAAAACATCACATGTATCTGAACTCACCAAAAAGAACTAAATCAGGACTTGCATTAAAAAAGACATTTAAGTTATATAATCAAATAGCATACAATTTTCCGTACAGTGCCTTCAGTGAGTGCTCTATTCATGGTTCACCCTGTCCAATGCCACATAGAAACTCTTCTTATCATCTAAGCAATGCCAACCGATAGGTCCGATCTCGCAATCTGCACAAATAAGATACTTGACTTTGCCTACATCTTTTGTGAAGCCCACATTCTCAAATGTGTACATGTCATCAACCAGCCAGTGAGCCATTAAGGTGTCCCCATCCAACGTCCCGTCTGACTGACCAATGGAAGTTTTCTTTCTCATCGAAGGAAGAAACAGCTGGAAAATGAAAAGAAAACTGTCAGTCTTGAAATATCATAATCATCACTTTAGATAGCTCATTTTACATGACAGGTTAGTGGTGTAACAACAGTTCATGACCATAACTCTGGAGATTACTTATATAGTTTAAATTACATCGAATCATGTAATGTAACAGGCATTATACCTGTATTTTAAATATCTAAAGCCAATTTATTTTGAAAGTTACCTCTTTTTCTGCAAAGACTGCCATGCCTGGACAGAGCACTTTGGATCCACATCTCTGGCACAAAACAGCTTTGACATTTTTGCCATCTTCTGACACGAGAGAGGGGTCTACGGGTCCCTCGGGAGAGGAGGTCGGTTTACTGTCATCCATGTTAGTAAGACACTGTATGGAAATTGAAATCAATACCTCAATTGAACATACATTAATTGAATACACACAGTTTATCAAATCAGCCAATACAGCATCATTCTATTTGGCTAGCAGGCTACTAGAAAGAAAGAATACTCGCCTCTGGGTCAGACCATGAAGTAAACTGATCCTTAATACAGACGTATTACCCAAATAAAGTCTACAAAACGTTAAGTACTAATTTGGTAATTTGTGTTCATACACAATTATAAACATAAGTTGGAAAAACTAGCGGACAAGTGTTTGCTACTGCTAATATTGGCGCAACTGCTAAAGCAGACCGGATCAACGCAAGATACGGACTTTACGTTCCGCTCAGAATAACACAAGACTCCATTTTCAAACTCTAGCGTTAGTTGTTTTCACGATTCACACGTATTATTGAATATCTTTTAATCGTTTGTGTAGATGTAATTAGTGAATAATACCCTGCTGCAAGGTCTATAAACATACCAGTCCGTAATTTCGGGAAATTAGTCTTACATTTGGACTGAATATAGTCCAGTCCTATAAAGTTAGATTAGCGGCTTTCAAAATTAATTTTAGCAAGTTTACAGTGCTGACCTTAAATTCTCCCTTAAGGTAATTCATTCACATTCTTTTCGGCTGTGTCCCTTAATTAATCTGGGGTCACCATAGCGGAATAAACCGCCAACTCATCCACCATTTATTTATTTATTTATTTATTTATCTGGATCCCCATTAGCCACTACCAAGGTAGTGGCTATTCTTCCAGAGGTCCAAATGTTTGACAGCGCATGCCCTTTCACATGGAACCATCCCTGGGAAACATCCATACACACTCATACTCTATAGACAATTTAGCTTACCCAAATAACCTGCACAGCACACGGAGGAAACCCACGCGAACATGGAGAGAACAGGCAAACTCCACACACAAACGCCGTCTGACCCAGCCGAGGCTCGAACCAGCGACCTACTGCGACAGCACCATCTACTGCACCATCGCGTTGCCCCTTACGAAAATTGATTATTGATTTATTATAAAGTGTAGAAGGCTTTGGCACACTGATTAGGCTACCATGTATAACCAGTTTTACGACAAATACCATGATTAAATTATGGTAAATGTAGCGAAACCTCAGTGAATTGTTAGTTGCTATGTACTTTGGTTTGATTTGCAGTGAATACAATTTTTGTGGTTGCAGGGAAAGATATATGCAAATCTATTGTTTCTGCAAGTCATATGAATGTAAAAAATACTTTAAAACACTTGGAAGACCACAAATTTGATCATTTTAATTAATAAAAAAATTGAAGCATTCATCAGCTGAATTAGCATAACTTTTCCCAATTGCTAATGTTTTTTCTTCTGTATTTCTTTTTTTTAAAGTTCCTAAATCAGGATAAATTTATAATAACCTGATGAAGAGAGAAGTAGTGCTACTTTAATTTAAAATAGTTCAAAATAAGAACTAATATTCCCCCAATGGAAAAATCAAACAGAAAAATCAATTGAAATACCTTAATGACAATCTTTTTTTTGACTTGATCCCTTTTTTATCAGAAGTCACCACAGCAGAATGAAAAGCCAACTTATCCAGCATGTGTTTTATGCAGCGGATGCTCTTCCAGCTACAACCCAATACTGCAAACCATCCATACACACACATACACTACGGCTAATTTAGCTTACTCATTTCACCAATAGCACATGTCTTTGGACTGTGGGGGAAACCAGAGCACTGGGAGAAAACCCACATGAACACGGGGAGACTTTATTGACATATTTATTTTAATTTAATTGAAAATACTTAATTTTGTTCAGTTTGCCTGCATCACAAGTAAATGTATCGTGATTCAAAGATATTCAGATATTTGAAGTGGAGAATAAAAAAGATGCACGTTTTTAACTGTGAATGTAACTTAAATATGTACAAATAAGATTTAAGTCCTTAAACCAAGAAAAGGAGAGGTAAACATTTTAAAACCTGTAATATCTACAAAAACCCTGAAAAATAAAAATGAACCTCCAGGGGTTACATCATATGGATCCTCCAAATAAAAGAAACAACACATGATCCATAAATATTTATTTAAACAGTTCACATTTCAAATAAATGCAAATGATTTACCACCTCTACACATAACACATGGATATATGGATTGTTTAGTCCGTGGTAAAGCCACATAGTTAGCTTATTCATTTAAAAAGGATCAAACACTACTTTTTTATTTTTATGTATTTTTTTTTTTACAAACAGCAGTCTGAGAAAGTTCAAAGATCAAACTCTTGTTATTAATGTAACATTTCGTAATAATAATAATAATAATAATAATAATAATAATAATTTGATTGGATTGCTTGCGACGTAAATTAACTAGCCATGTCTGAGACTAATGAAATTTACTACACTGTAGTTTTGGCCCATCTATTTTAAACCTATTTCCAGTGGCCTAAGGCACAGGAATATTTTTATACTTTACAGGAAAGTTTATACTTTACAGACTGCACAGATGGATCCATGCAGAGGCCTTAATAACAATGATATTCAATATCTGTGCTGTAAGGTGCAACAGTTGACCTGT